ACAACAACAGCGACGACACTAAATTATTCAAGCCGGAAAACGAAGGAGAAAAAATGTAAATCTGTGATTTTAATGCGTTTGCCAACTGTAAACATAAACCGAAAATATTACAAAACTTGTGCAAACAGGCGGAGCAATAAAATGTGAAGAAATGCCGAGGGATACAAGAAAAAAAGCAGAAAAGGGAAATGAATACGAATGCGAATGCGCGTATGTCAATTTAATGGGCGGAAACTGTTTGGCATGGGCGTGGCACATGCTGAAGTGCCCCTGCCAGCCACCAAAAGAAAAATGAAATATTTATATGAACATTTTCATTTATTGAGCGTAACAAATGTGCACAAAACAAGGAGGAATCTCGTTTTGTGGCATGGGAAGATGATTCACGGCAAAAGGTGAAGGACTCAATGGAGAACTGAGAACGTATAACGCAGAGCGTAGAGCTCACCTGTGCAGGTTTTTGTGCGTGCAGGATTGCCATCATCATAATCATTGGCAGATGGCCCTGTCCTTCACCCCCACAACGGCCACCCACTTTCACCCAACCACTGAGCCGCGAAAGACAATCTGGCCGCACTTTCTCCCCCAGCCACACTCGAAACTTTCGTCATAAATACTGTGTCTACAATTGTTATACTCTAGCAGAGGGTAGTTCAATCATCTGTTGTAGTATGTTGGCTGTGGGACAGAAAACAAGGACTAAAAGTCTTTGTGTATTTAGTGCCTTAGGGATATATAATTTAATAACATTAATTTATCTTGTTAAATTGTGTTTGCTCATAGTTTTGCAAGACATTGTTATAGATCCTTAATGCTGATCACTGAATCCAAAAAAGTGAACAAAATTTAAATTAAAAAGATTTGTGAGTAATTGTAAGTTCAAATTAAAATAAATATTAAAATAGTACAAGACTTTTTTTTTGCTAAAAATTTTTACAGTTTACATAGGATGCTATATTTTTTTTTAATAATTTTATAAAAATAATATATTCTTTGTTAGAATTGTATATAAAAATGTATAACATTTCAGGGAAGGTATATGTCAAAATATTGTTTCTAGTAAAGACTTAATAGAGAACATAAGAATTCGGTTTTATTGCGCAAATTTCTCTCAATTTTTTGAGTTTATTTTTTTTTGTGTGTGCTCTGGCTTCCTTTGTTTTCGCTTTCGCTGCCTTGTGCTCCTGCTTTCGTTTGCTTGCGTTTGGTTTCGTTCTTTTGTTTGTTTATTTGCTTGTTGCGGTATTCGGGGAAATTATTATATTTTAATTACACATGCGTCCGCTGCCGCTGCGCAGTTGCAGCGCAGTCGGCGTCAAGGCAGGGCAGAACAAACAACAACAAGCGGGAATGGCCAAAAAAAATAACCGCAAAAATGTAAATGAAAATGGCGTGAAAAATCAGTTTCATGGTTTTTATATCCCTGTTTATTTGTTGTAAATGAGCGCATTTCGCTGCCGTTGTGGGCGGTTGGGGCGTGGTTGCGCTGGTGGGCGGCGAGCGGCGGGCGGGGGGCGGGGGCGTGGCAGTGGGTGCGGACATAACGGAAGTTGATTATGACCATTTAGCATGGTCGAACGTCGACGTGGGCAGAAAAGTGTGTTATTTTACTTTTCGTTGTTGTGTCAGCCTAATTAATTTTTGTCACTAATGTTTATATAGTTGGTAACGGTAGCGGTAACGGTTACGTTAACGTTAACGGTTACGGCACAGGTGCTGCTCAACACTCGGCGAAGCAGCTTTATTACCCAATTACATTAGCAGGAGTGGGAGTTGTTTTTTTATCAACATAAAGGAGTTCCGGCTGAGTTTGAAGAATTTTGAATTAAAAAACATTTTAAGGGTAAAAAATGGTTTCCTTAAGCTTACTTTTGAACATAAGCAATAGGATTTACTTTTTAAATACAAAAACTCATATACAATTATGCAAATGAGGTCTTATAAATGTAACATAACAAAAATAGGTTTATTTACATAAAAAATGTTGTTTTTAATACTATTTTACCTAGGAAGATAGTTATTTACTTAAGATATCAAATAAATAAATGTAAGATTGTTTAGCTTTTAAAATCGTTTGGCCATATAGCGTTTTTAAATTTTAAAAGGTTTTATTATTATTTATAAAAATATAAAATCTTAGAAGGTGCGTCTTCTAGCGAATTTATTTTAGAAAAGAAACAATTGATGTTCTTGAGGGGAATTCCAGTCGCACGTTAAGTGGTCCGCCATCCAGCTCCTGCTGGTTGTTCCACTCATGCCGCCTATCATCCGCAGCTCTCAATATTAAGAAATAACAACTTGCCAAGGGCAAATGAGGGCTCGCGGAGCCAGGACGAGAGGGAAAAGGGGGCGGGGCCCCCAGAATCGGGAGTCGTGTGGCAACTTTGCTTTTGGGGTCTTGGATGTAAACAAGCGAGGCAAATATTTAACTCGCAGGCACTGGCAGCGGTGTCTTCTGCGTGTCCTGTTTTTGAGACTGTGTGTGTGTGTGTATGTGTGTGGAGGCTGCCACAACACATACACATACTGAGATCCTTTGGTTCTCGCAAACTTTTCTCCTGCGAGAGGCTTGGGGCTCCGCTGTCGCTTATTTGTCGCAGCAGTTGAGCTCAAAGCTTTGGCTTGTTACACTTTATGAAATCAGCTGCAGTCCTGCCACGCCCCACGTCACGACCCCGCCCCCAGGACCTTTTGAAGCACAAGTGTTTATGTTTGTCTTGGCGAGGCGGCGGCTCATAAAGTCCCTGGCAAGCGAGCTGCCAGGAACTCAGCCCCACTGCTGTCAGAAGTCACGTCGAGTCCTGCGATTGTGATTCCCTCGTTACCTCCCCAGAACAACCCCTCCCCCTCCCTCCTTCCACCCACCATCCTTTCGACATGTCTCTGCCATAAACTTCAACTGGAAACTGTGCGTAATTATATTAAATTTTTATTGCCTCACACATGAAATGGAAACGCAGCAGCAATTTCCGAAAGCGACTCTCCAAGATTATCCACATGCAAATTGTTCACATGGCATGTGGCTAAATAAAAAGCAGGGAGTGGAATGGAATGGATGGTTTAAGTGTAGCAACGATTTAGTAAATTGATTTTAATCAAATCAGGAGGATGTTCTTGTTCCAGTCAGTATCAAGTTGTTTGGAAAAAGGGTTTTACTTAAATTGGTCTTAAAATGCAGTTTTTAGATTCTCATTGGTTAACCACAAGTGAGATTTGCTAAAGTTTGTGGGTGTAGTTTATTTTAAAAGCTGGTTTGTCTGAAACTTTGAACCTTAAAACTTAAATTCATAGCTTATAGGTTTTTAAAGAGAAAACTACAAAATAGTTATACAAATAAATACGAGAACTTTGGCATTACAAACTCAAGCCCCCGAAGCCCTTTAATGATCTAAACAAATTGGATCGTTTTTATGTTCCTGTATCGCATTATGGCCTAAACATGTTTATGCACCTCGTTCACCTGCCCCGAAAATCTCGCCCAATTGAACAATCAATGTCATTGAATCCAATTTTCCATGTGCCTTGCACCCCCCGCGGGGGGTATGGCATTTTCCTGATTTTCCCGCCGCTGTTCAAATGCTTTCTGGGGTTTCATTTGGCTTCGCTCGGTCGGTTGCCAGTGGCAGCCGCCGCTTGAACTTGTTTGACATTCCACCGACAATCAAATTTAGATGCCCCGATATCCGACAACTCCTCCTCATCCTTTTTTGGAGCCCCGGTGCCAGACAATTGTTCGGTTCGCCACAAAAGGCACTTTCCCCGCTCCCCAAAAAATACTGGATTCCGCCTCCGTCAGCAATTATTCAATGCTTAATCGTCAGAAGGCATCAGCGACATGAATGGCATAAATCTTATTAAATATTCAAGTAACACAAAAAACCAGAAATGCGGGCATAATTAACGGCAATGAGTAAAAAACAACGAGAGCCGCCACCAAATGGTCAACGAATGTTGGGGGCGATTATGATTGCAGCAAACACAAGCGGAAAAGCGGGAAAATGGGGGACAATTTCCAGTGTTTTTTTTGTGCCTCTTCTTTTTTAGGCGTAGCCAATGCAATTATTTCATTTTCCATTTTCATACACATGTGGGCGTGGCCCCACCCCCGACGGGGAATCGCCTTGGGCTGTCGTCATCGTCGTTATCGTCTCCACAGCGCCTGGCGACCGAAACTATTTGAATAACGCGCCATCCACGCCCACGACCTGTGAACCCATGACCCCTGACCCCACGCATTCCGCACACACATGTGCACCACCACCACCCCTCAATTTTCCCCCGTTCGTGTTAATAGTTTTTCCCTTTGTAGCCGGCCTTTTTCTGCTGTTTACGTTATCGCATGTCCTGGCTGCGAAGTGAACTTAGTCGGACCACAATTACTCGAAAATTAACGCAATTAGATTTGCCCGGGCCAAGCCTTTGATCTTTGAAGCCTATAAAGTTGTATAAAAACTAAGCATTGCAAGGGCCATAAAAAGAACAATGCATAACGCTGAAAAGGTGGAGTCGGTACCCTTTTTATACCAAAGTTAGTTTATGGAAAATGTTGAAAAAAAACACCGCACCATATATGTATATACACATGTCTAGCATATTACAAATGTTAGAAAAATATTAAATAAACATAAAATATATCCATTAAATAATACAAAATATCAATCAAATTATAAAGCTTGTTATTTTATTAAAACATTTTAAATAAATCATGTCGAATTGATGTTTTAAAAGCATATGGTAAAAGTGGTCCTTTACATTAGCGTTTGACTAGATTATTAAGCTCATTTCTTCATTCATGTAATGTTCTCCGTGTTATTTATTTAATGCGTAATATCCATTAACATCCGAGGCCTTCCCAGGGGCTTATGAATAAAGAATGTACCAATTCCGGCAAGGCTATAATTTTGCGGTTGGAAAACATGCCGGTAACGAGACCGAAACATGACATTATAATAAGTAATATGAAACTAATTTGTTTTCCCTCTCTCTATTCATATTTGCAGAGACATTGCATTAGTCAGCAGATCCAGATCGAGCAGTCCTAGTGTACGTGACTTGGCCTTTTCCAGCGCTCAATCGAAAGGTAAGAAATTTTTTCTTTGGGGGACGCAATGTGTACAGTACTGACAGTTCATATGCAAGGGATAGGAATTCTTCAGTGCCTGGAATCCCAACTAATTAAGTTGAGACCCCTATGAAACTCGCTTTCAAGGATTTAAACAGGTGGATGAAAGGGGGTTGTCATCGGGCTGGAGATGCCCGGAATCTTGGCAATGTTTTATTCAAAAATTGCTAAAATATTTGGCAAGTGAGTTAAAAGTTTCCTCAGACGAGTCTGTCGGCCAAGTCTGTATTTATGTTTGTGTTTGTGTTTGTCTTTGCGGAGCATTTTTGCCTAACTGAAGGAATTTATTATATAAACGGGGGGCGGCGAGGGGTAGCTCAACGAGCATGACAAATTTTCACTTTGCGTCAGGGAAAAGTTGCAACAAACTTGCAACAGCGAAAATAATTTCGCTCCTCGTTGAAAGTCAAAACACACAGCCCGAAAAAAAATAAAGAAAATCGAAGGGAAAGGCAAGGAATGGAGTGGAAAGTAAAGAAAAGCCTGGACGACTACTTATCTGCCAGGAGGACAGGACAGTCAGCCAACACTTTTGGCCAGGTGCTGCCAATTTGGGCGGTAAGCAGTTGCCAGGACTCTCTCGAAAGTGCTGCGAGATCCTTCGGAAGGCGAGGAGCTGTGAAGGAGGAGCACAACTTTAAGTAAAGCCACCAAGAATCAGGACCAAACAAAAAAACAAAAGGGGAAGTGACGGCCAAAGTAATGTGCCAGGCAGCTCAAGTGCATTGGGGCGTTGTCTGTCTGAATGCCGCAGGGGGCGTGGCAGGCATATGCATATAGCATACAGCATACAGAATACAGCATACAGCATATCGCCCAGCTTTTTCTGGGCAGAAATATGTGTCAACAGAGGCGAAGGCGAAAGTTTGCTCAGCTCTGACAACTAGTTTCCATTTTATTTTGTGCTGACAGGTATGCTAAAAGCTAAAAAACGTACAAGACCAGGTCCTGGGAAATGGAGCCCAAGTTAAAAGCAGTCAAAAGTGCGAGAATGAGTCCTGCTGATTTTACTTTCGGCAATATGGCATAAGGAATGGGAGAGTGGGTGAAAGTGGGTGGCAAGGTGACACCTTCACCCACTCCAAGGACAAGGATATGTGTGACAGCTGGCAATGACTGCCTCGCATGATAACAGAAATAACAATAACCGGGCCAAAGAAGAAAAAATGGCAAAGCAACAGCGGCAGCTGAAAGGGTTAACAAATGGCAGTCGAAACTTTGGCGCGACTGTCAAAATAAATGCGAAGCAATTTATGAAATATTTATGAAGTGTGACATGGCTGACAATAAATATATATGGGCAAGGAGGCTGCTTTTTCCTTTTCCTCTGCCTTTCCCTAAACCATCCCCTCCACAGATTTGATCGAAGCAGACTCCAACTGGCGCTGACAAGTGACGCAAGCCAAGGACAAATCCGGATATTTGTGCGCCTTAATAAAAATGCGAATAAAACGTGCGGACGTCATAACTTGGCCCACTGATTGATGGCTTCGTTTCGTCTGCCGTTTTGCCTCTGCGTCATTTGTCAGACATGAAAACCGGTCTTCACGGGTCAGAGAACTCGAGGGAAACTGCGGGGAAACTGCGGGAAAAGCCCTTAGAGCAAAGACAGGAACTGCAGTTTGTCCAACTGACCAAGTTTTTGTAGCTGTCGTTTTATTTGCAGCTCAGCTAAATGGAAAGCGACTAACCCTTAGTGGCTCCATTCCATTCCCACCTCACCATTCACTCAGTCACTCAGTCAGTCAGTCAGTCAGTCAGTCAGAGTCAGTCAGTCAAAGTCAAGCACGTCCGAGCTGCGTTCATGTCACAGCTTAAAGTTATATTCACATGAGATAGGGACAGGACTCGCACAAATATGTAGCAAAAATCTTACACGTTGAAAAAAATAGGCAAAGAAATAGCTTAGATGTAGGTAAAGTAATTAGTTTAATTGAAATCATCAGATTGACCTAAGTAAAATTGAATTACAGTTTTATAAGTGAATGACTTTTTACAATAAAACCACTAGGAACTGTAATTGATTTAATAAAATGTATTAACAATAGCTCAGATGTAAATGAAGTAATAACTTTTATTTAAGTTATCAGATTCACCTGATTAAATTGAATTAGAAATTTATAAGTAAATGCCTTATACAATAAAATGTACTAATAATACAAAAAAATAGCCGAAGCAATAGATATATACGGTAAAAAATTTAATTCATACAGATTCGCCATTGTAAAATTTAATAACAGTTGTTTGCGCAATTGACCCTTGACAATAGCAAAAGAAATTAATAATTTTGTATAATTTAAAAATAAAATAAATCAACAAATTGACAACACTACTAATGGTTACATTTGAACTGAATCCTTTTATGTTAGTCAATAAAGCTAATCAAATTTAAGCTTAAGTTTATTAAAGCTTAGGCAATATTGATAATTTTATTCCTGCGTGTCGTTAAGGGATACTCCAAAATAACTTCCCAAATATTTTTCAAAAATATAAAGTAAAGTATACACTTTTTAGTTTAGGGAATGCAATTCAGTTTTAAATACTAAATCAGCAAAGGAGTGATGTAACAAAATTGATATGTCTGTATGAACTGAACCATCTAGTTATCATTTTTTCCGCCGTGCACACACAAACCCGCTGCGAGTGATGCTGATGCTGATGATGATGATGCGGCTGAGACTGATGCTGAGGATGCCCCGGGACGCTGCAGCTGATGGGGGACTGCCATAAACAACTACGAGTCTTCCGGCATAAAAACTTATTGTTGACAAAACCTCATGACACACAGACGTGGGCTGGCTGGCATGGGTTGGCGTGGGGTATAGGGCATAAGGCGTGTGTACATATTGTTAAAGTCCTGGCCCGGCTGGTGATGATGCCGGTGTCCTGGCTGCCACAGCGGAAGTGTCACCATTTGTCAAATAACGAAAATTGAAAACAATTTCCACATGGCCAGAATCCCGACGACACTGGGCTTTTGTCTTGTGATCAACCTCAGACTTGGTCCTGTGTGTTTGTTCTAAGTTTCTCGATACGGCAAACGAGCTGCTCAGCCTGCTTGGTAGGGCCGCCTTTTTAAAGCCAAGAATTTCCATTGCTGGAAAATATTATCTTCAGCCTGTGTTGTGTTTGCCCGGTCTTCCTGGGAAATTGCTTGCGTGGCTGTCAGCTTAGCTGCGGCTTTGCCCCAATTTCCCACTGGGTCGCCGTCGTCATTGTTGTTGCTGCGGTTGATGTTGCTGCTGCTGCTGTTGTTGCCGCTGTTGTTGCTGCTGTTGTTGCTGCTGCTCTTTGTCGACACTTCTGTCACACTGTTTCACACGCCTTTTCCCCCGGCGAGGACTCGTTCCCTTTGCATGGCCCATTGTTTGCACGCACACCACCTCACCAACTCACCAGCCGAGGACTCCCAAACACACACACACACACAAACATATGCGTTTCTCGCTTCGAAAGTTTAATCGAAATTATAAACAACAAGACAAATTGCTTCTTGTTGCAATTTTCCTCTCTCCCTCCCCCTCCCCATCGCCACACCCCCTTAAAACATTATAGAAACCAGTATCCTGGCCTGCCATAGTTGTTGCTGCTGTAACCATTGTAGTTGCTGCTCCTGTTGCTGTTGTGAATGTTGCTGGTCATGTTATTATTGCAGTTGCTGCTCCTGCCTTCCTTAAAGTTGCCGCTGTTCTTGCTCTTACTTTCCTTGATGTTGCTGATGTTCCAGCAACTGTGGCTGTTGCCCATGTTCCTGAAAGTTTTAATGTTGTTGCTCCTTTGTTTTTGGCATTAGTTGCTGCTGTTACCCGGCCAGATAATGTTGCTATTGCCTTTGTTGCTATGTTACCTGAGCAATTAATGTTGCTGCTGTCTATATTAAACTTTCTTTCCTTACTGGTACTGGCGAAATTTAAAATGTTGTTGCTTCATTTAGCTGCTGTTGCTGTCGCTTGCATGGCCAATGTTGCTGCTGTTACCGGAAAAAACTACTGTTGCTGCTGCTCTGCATTCTGATCTTGTTGCTGCTAATGGCATGGCATACCCTAAATGTCGCTATTGTCAATTTACCTGATGTCGCCGCCACAACGGCAACATTAGCTCAACCTTTTGTTATTCCTGTTCCATGTTGCTCCTTGATGTTGCTGCTGTCGTGATAGTCGCTCTTAAAGTTGTAGTCTTTAATTTGGCCCTGAGTTTGCTGCAGCCCCATTATCCCTGCTGTTGCTGCTGACAAGGAGCAACGTTGCTGCTGCTGCTTCTGCTCCCATTTTCCCTAGGGGAATAATTTTCTTGGTAATTGTTTGTCGTCAAGGTTTGCTGTTGCTGGTGTTTGCTTACTCTACGAGATGAAGAACTTAAGCCAGGGAGATCAATTTGTACGCAGCTTGCATTTAATCTCGGGCAAAGATGCCATCTATATATATATGATATATAGGGAATATATAGCTAAGATAGCTACTCGGTCTAGACTTCGTTATCGGCTGTTCATATTTTATTTAGACCAACACAAGATGAATGAAATATCTCGCCTGTTTTTACGCTCCTGATGTGTTTTGCCCCCCACATTGCCACTTCGATTTGCGATTTGCGATTCGCTTCGTCGCTTTCTGTTTTTGTGATTCTGACATGAAGGCAAGAGAGAAGTTTGCTCGTTTGATAAATGACTCATGAATGCTGAGTGAGGAGACGCATAAATCTTATGATTTATGCATAATCAACAAATTGATTTTTCATTTGCTTGTAACGCTCTCTTTCAGCATTTTTCCCCATTTCACCCCTTTCCCTTTTGGCCTTCATTCAGGCCTTTTGAGTAATTGGCTGTCAGCGACGCGTTGCAGCATGTGTGCACACAAAAAATATGGTAATACATTTTGAAAACCTATAGCTATAGCTATAAAATATAAAAAATTAAAATTGTACACAAAATGAAATGGGATCTCAACGCATTGCATTTGTATAGTTTTTACAACTATTTATTGACTACATTTTATTATAATACAAGCAGATAATTTTTTTATGTGTAAAAAAGTAGAGCATGTGGGTGAATTGCCCTCTCTTTTTGTGGGAAAATCTAATTACACACATATTCAGTGAATTTTTTGATTTGCTGCTTCACGACACACTTAAAAATTTTCAGAATATGTGAAATTTCGCCCCAGTCACTTCGAATATATATTCAGCCATATATCCTGTGCTAGGCTCTCCTCAAAAGTGTGTGTATGTGTCTAGTATGTGTGTGTTTTCGAGGAAATTTTAGTTTCGACTTTGCTTTGATATTTAAATTGAAGCCATCAAGTCATCTTCAGCTGCCGTCGTCTGGCTGCGCAAAAGTTTTCATGTATATTTTGAGTACTTAATCCTGCGGTGTGAGCCACTTCTAATGCTCCTTGAGCCCTGAACTTTGGCCAAATCGAAAGAGGCGGCAAAAAGAGGGAGTGGTAGGAGATCTAGCTAAGCCGGCATAAGCATCGCATCATGCTACGCAGCACTTATCATCGTTTTATTTAAAATTTATAATCGAAATCAATGTAATGAAGCATGCCCCAGTCAATAAGTCAAGTGACTTTCGGCTTTCCATCCGTCTAATCCCCTCGATTTTCATCTTCATCCTTCATCCCTACGATATTGCGACAATATTTTATGCAAATCACTGCTCTGACTGCCGATAGCGACGATAACTCACTTGACAACTGACAATAACTTATTTACACTTCATTATGCCATCCAACCAGCCAACCATCCAACCATCCATGCAGTCAAGCTGGCAAAATCCGAAATATGCCCAGTGCCATTGTGACTTATTAATTTATTAAAAAATACGGGCATAATTAGAGAGCACTTTGCCCAATGACACTTGAAATGCAAAATTAAGGCAAGGGCACAAGAACGTAGGCCAGCTCATCTCGTCTCATCGCCAGTGAAGCCGTTGCCGTTGAGCGAACAATCAGCGACAGAGTTGCAGTTATTTATGAGCTCGATAAATTTGTTTATGGGGGTAAAGTGGAAAGCCCAGGGGTACGGGATGAAGTGACAAAGCAACCGAGCGTCAAATGAAGCCAGCAGGAGGCTTCGCAACGGGGCCAATTCGACTTTCACGGCGGGAAAGGGGAATAAAACGGAGGGCTTCGGACGATTCCAACGCGGCATCGCCTGAATTGGGCCAAATGAAATATGAGCGGAAGTGAGAAAGTTAACAACATTAATTAGCATTTTTATGAAGCACTTTCGAGCAGCTCCGGGAGCAGTAAAGCCCAGGAGTGGGCAAATAAACTCGAATGAATGGTTATCAACTCTGATTCCAGTTTCAATTTTTCGCCACCTCAAATGAGGCTGAGTTTATGACAGGGCCGCAAAAAATCAAACCCATTTGTTGGGCACGAGTATAATTCGGGATGATTTTAAAACACAAAATCAAGACCATGAAAATCGAATATTTTTGTTAGAGTCATTTCCACCTTGCCAGCCTTTTATGACTGCTACACTCTAAAAAAAATTATATTGGAGTCAAAAAATATTAATGTACTGCTTGAAGTTTTACAATAAATGTTGAGTAATTTGGAAAATTTTATAATTTCACAGTAAACTGACTGTAGAATAAAAATATAATTTTAATAAATTTGTTCATTGGTTAAGGTATATAATTCCAAATGGTTTACTACGAAAGACGACCTTTCTATATTTCATAGCTTACTTTTTGACTCTTTTAAATTATTTAAAGCTCTACTGACTTATTTAGTACACCCTATACATCCAAAATAAATTTATATTTACACTTTTAATATAATATATAATTACACTTATTTATCTTAAGTGTTATTCCCTAAGCCCCAACATAAACCAATTTTATTGACCGCGTCACTGCGCATTGTTCCCTGTATTTTGCAGAATCCTCGCCGCCGAGCGATAGGAAGACGCTCGCAATGTTGCCGCATCATCAGCGCCGTAAAGTGGCGGCTTCGGCGGACAGCGCCATCTGCTTCCTGATCCTGTCGCTCCTGCTGATTGCCGGCTGCCTGGTGGCGCCCACCGAGGGACGCGCCAAGGAGGACCGTCGCAACAGGGGGCGTGGCAGCAGCAGCGGCTCGCTGGCCTCCTCCTCCTCCGTGAGCAACATGAATAATGGCTACTACGGCGGCTCCTCGTCGTCGGGAGCGGGCTCATCCTCCTCCGGTTATGTGCTGACCAGCAGTAGTGCTTTAAATTCCGGCAGCACTGGCTACAGTGGACCCATGGACAGCACTGGATTCTGCACACGTCGAAGGGACATGAAGCTGATGTGCTACTGTACCCCGGATGAGAATCATGTGCCGGTGCAGAAGGCCGAGTGCTGGGTTTTCTCGGAGGGATTGCACCAGAACGACACCACCTGGACGCGATTCTACCAGCAGAAGCGTTTGCGCGAGCTGAAGTTTGTGATCCAGAACAATGCCCGATTGGACTACATACCCACGATGATTATCGAACCGCTGAAGAACCTGAGCAGCATTGTGATCGAGTACTCCCAGGTGGAGATTGTCAAGAGCTACGCGTTCGCCAATCTGCCCTTCTTGGAGAAGATCATCCTGAACAACAACCACATTATGGCCCTCGATCAGGATGCCTTCGCCAATCACATTAGGCTGAGGGACCTGAATCTGGAGCACAATCAGATCTTCGAGATGGACCGCTATGCCTTCCGCAATTTGCCACTCTGCGAGAGACTTCATCTGAACAACAATAATATTAGTACCTTGCACGAGGGTCTCTTTGCCGATATGGCCAGGTTAACCTCACTTAACTTGGCCCACAATCAAATCAATGTGCTGACCAGCGAGATTTTCCGGGGATTGGGTAACCTGAATGTCCTGAAATTGACCCACAACAATCTGAACTTTATCGGCGACACTGTATTTGCGGAATTGTGGAGTCTCAGTGAGCTGGAACTGGATGACAATCGTATCGAGGTGAGTAGATGTTTGCATTCAAATGTATAGCACACTTTTGGGGGCACAAAAAGAAACGATTGGAAATTAAATTGAAATAAATAAAGTTTATTTGAGAAAACCAATCAGATGCGAGCTTATAAATCTCCATAGGTAACTGATTCATTTCTGTAATTTCCCCTGCTTAAAACCCATTTAAGATAAAACATTAATTCCCAGATTGATTGAGTTTTTCACGTGCGCATTTATAGTTGTTTGAGTGCTTTTATTTATAGCACTCCGCATAGCCACCACCTCTATATAGGTAGTATATAGTATATAGGGCAATGCAATCTACGAGCACAGGCAGCAAACTTCTCAATCAACTCTAATGCAAGTGGATTAAAAAGATTTGTCTGCCTGGGCCACTTGGTCAACTTGGAGGAGCTGACTTAAGAGGCCATAAATTGCCGAGTGGCCATAAGAAACAGAAGGGAGCTGGTCTAAGGGGGGGGGCACCATAAATGGCACATCCTTGGGGCAAGGACACACAGATACCCACAAACAGAGGCAACTTTTTGCTGGTGTCATAAATTCAATTCGAATGTCTATTCTTGTGGTGATTTAAGTGGTCACTCAGCATCGGTGGACCGTTGTTCGTTGGTAGCGAGGGGTGGCGCAAATATGATAAATAGATTGGTAAATTATGTTTCCAACGTTTTCGGTCTTCGGTGTGTGGACAAGGTCCTGCTTTGGGTCCTGCCTTAATTCGCACACTTACCCTGCAGAGCGGACCGCACGCTGACAGTCGCCTTTCGGCGGCGCTCTGTGGCAAACAAATGTGCGCCGCAAGTTAATCTACTTACAAAATATTGAATAACAAATCATAGGAATAATGGATTTATGGCGCTCCCTTCTTCAGCCATTTGATAAAGGGCAATGGGATGGGAAATGAGGAACGAGGAACGAGGACCCTTCTGTGTCCTGGTGGCCATAAAAATGGCCAGCGTGTGTGGGTAAATAGAAAAATGTCGCTTAACACTCGAGCCGGAGAAGTTTATGTAAGGCAGCCGTATGAGCGTAAATCCTGAATATCCATATCCTGGGCCAACATTGCTCCTTCCTGCCACCCAGCTCCTTCGCTTTTCCCATTTTACAAAGTGCTCGCATATCATGTCACACTCAGACGACTCGCATATGTGTCAGGCCAACAGGACACCAGGACACCAGGACACAGGACACTCGAGAGCAGCCGCTCAAGTGGGGTCCTGGTCGTGTTCTTCTCTGCTCTGTCCTATCCTGTCCTGGATCCGTCGCATTGTCATAGCCATAATGATTGGGCTTGTTATCGCCCACGTTGCGCATTGTTTCCAGCCAAGGAATCCGGGATTTGCCTCGACCTGAACCGACAAAAATTCCCTTTCTAAGCGACTTTGTGTGCCCGTTGTCGCCTTCAATATGAAAGCAAATTGTGTTGCATGTTTGGCTTGGGCCTCACACCCCTCAGCTTTTCCTTTCCCTTTTCCGCATTTTTTTGTATTTTTTCTGCTCACTTCATAAATCATTGGCCGTTGAAAGGTTTAGCTCTGACACAACATAAAACGCTGGTTGTGTGTGTGTGTGTGAGTGCGGGTCCAGGGATGAAGATAAACAGATAATCGGGTTAAGGGGCTAAGGGGCTAAGGGGCTAACCGAGTGCATTAAGGTGAAAGTGTACAAGAAATTAACAGCTTTAAGCAGCTTTCACTCTGCTTCGTAGATTAAAACAGTTATCAAAGCCATTACCAAGAAACGTAATGACATAAGATTGTTGGAAAGTAACCAAAGTGTAAGTAGAAACTAACGAGGAATCTCAGGGTAATCCACTTTGAGTTGGCTTTTTAAAATAAAATATTGTATATTAAAATGTTAAACTCTACAAGCCTAAGGACATTTAATATTATCTAAATTACTTACAACTTTTAAATAGTAAATAATAAAAAAGTCACATATGCTTATTTATATCGCTGGTAAGCAGAAAAAGTAATTTAAACTCAGTAGAACAATAATTTTAAGTGTATATTATACACAAAATTTAAAAGAAAATGTATGAGTGTAGCACAGCAATCCTTAGCAGCCTTCCAATGAATCCCAGCCCACCCATTAATCGCGTTGTCATAACTTTGTTTACTCAATCCGCACATAAATCGCTCGTAAATTATATTTTTTCGCTGTTGTCAAGCTAATAAATTGGTCGCGTAGGCATCGAAGGATCGCCCATCAAACTAACAAAATATCGCAATAAAACATATATACATTTTTATGTCAATCATCTGGGCAAATAAACAAACATGGAAAGATTGCTGCTGGTGCTTGGGTTATTTTTCAATGCCACATCACCGGAGCAGGGAACTTTGGCACATGCTTCCTCCGCCTTGGACGCGTTATTTAATATGCATAATTTCTCCATTTCCCCAGACAAAGCATATTGAATATTAAATAATGGTGGAATACGCCGCCTTCACTTTCGTTGTTCAGCCAACAAAACAGAAACCAGAAATAAAATAAAAGAAAACACTTATTTTCCGTATAATAAAATTCAAGACAAACGAATTGGGACATACAAGTTAAAAAAAACAAGAGCTCATGCATGTGTACGGGTGTGATTGTGCTTGTGTGTGTGTGTGTCGCCAATACATACACATAAATAAATTCGCAAACAAACAATGAAGACAATGACAACAACAATGGCATGCGAAAGGCGAAACTCTGTGAAAAACAATGAAAATATAACGCAGAAATGCGGAAAAATGGCAGCACGAAAATATTTTTCAGTTTTTGTGCAAAATGTTATTCTCACAATGACCGCATAGCATATATTTACTATATATATACTAAAAAAATCACTGTTTAATCAAATTAAAGAACAAACTAAAAACTAATCCCCTTAACCCATTTTAGCGAATTTCCGAACGTGCTCTGGATGGCCTGAATACACTGAAAACTCTGAATCTGCGAAACAACCTGCTGAAGAAGATCGACAACGGTCTGCTGCGGGGCACCCCCGCCCTGCTGTCCATCAATGTGCAGGCAAACAAATTGGAAACGCTGACGTTCTACACATTCCAGCCAATTATGGACAATTTGGTCAACAGCACCAGTGAGCTGCTGGTGTCAGGTGAGTGTCCAAAACTGAGATACGAACACAGATACACGGACCTTCGAACTTCCGCAGACATTGATGGCACCAAACTGGGGGGGAGGGGACGTGACAAAAAGCTGACAAGTGCACAAAATGGAGCGCTGTCAAAAGTCCGAACTTATTATAATTACACATACGCCCTGTTGGCCCCGTTCGCCTTGCCCACTCACTGCATATGCAGCCAAATGAGCCGAGCCGCAGGGCCATAAACTTTTATGCCCCTCGCCTTCATTAAGGAAATGTCGTATCGCCATTGCTCAAGTGTGCACTTCCACTTCCACTTCCACTTCCGCTCCGGCACTCCACAGCATGTCCTGCCACTGAACGTCCTTTCATGTCCTGTCCGCACACACATGCACTGTGCGTGTGTGTGTCTAAATTAGTCATTAAAGTGCAATTTTGAAGTGCTTTGCCGCGCGAACGCATAACAATAAAATATCTGCCTGTCGCAACCACTTTAGTTTGGTTTGCCTCGGCGGCTAATAGCGCGCGCAATTAGCGGGCTGATTAGCTCAATTAAAGGTAAATGAAAATGAAATATCAAGTACCTGTTTTGCGGCTTGTCATTGCGGGGTTAAGTTTTACCACCGAAATGAGTTATAACCCAAATCCAATTTTACTAAGTAGCGGACAGTTTTTGGATTGTGGTTCTGGACTTAATCTGAGTGCAATGTGTAACAATTAACACTTCGGCATATAAAAAAAAGGCAATTTTGTCTTCTTAACTATACAAAAAATTAAACGATTTTTCTACTATTTTGCTGACAAGTTTTACAAACTTATTTAATTAATTACAATTATGGCTTTGGCATATACAAAAAATAAAACTGTTTTGCGTCCGTAATTATGAAAAATAATGGTTGGAAAAAATTCAATGATTTTGCTGACAAATTTAATAAGTTTTATAAACCTAATGGGCACAAGTTCTATTTTGTTTTCAATTTGGCAGAATATATTTTTTAGTTATGAAGTTTCCTTGAAAAGTCATAGATTTTCGGTTCAAATTAAAGGACCTTCATAAAAAAGCTTATCTACATAATTAAATAGAACATTTTATGACTACTTATAATTTAATTTAATTTTAGGAAAATATGTGCCTCTTAACAGTTTTTGATAGTCTGGCCCAAAAATGAAAACTTCAACTCATTATAACTTTTTAGTAGATAAAGCCAAAAGTTATGAATTTTTGTCATAAATAATTGAAATGAAATGCTTTCAAGGTCCCAGGCAAACGTTTAGCCCATTTTTTGGCCACCTTGAAAGATTCCCCTTTGTGCGCAATTTAAGCAATTTTATTCTGAGCTTAGGCTGCAATTAGACTTTGGCGTAAACGCAAATGCTACTGCTACTACTGCTGGCAACAAAGAGAATGGCTTTCGCCCATGGAACACATTTAAATATTTAACAACAGCCTTCAAAATCACATTTCTCTTTCTGAAACACCAACTCACACACATGCAGCCAACTTAATTATCACCCACACCCATACAGTGGCATTTTTGCTAATGGTTTGCCATTAGCATGACTCATTTGCAGTTGGAAAAAAAGCAAAAAAAAAACCAAAAAAATAGGAGAAAAAACAGGACGAGTGGCGATGAAACGTCGGAATAGCTGAGCGCATTGCCAAACAAATGTGTGTGTGTGTGTGTTTGAGTGAGCAACTGTAATTGCATTGGCACACACTCACATACACTCACACATACGCAAACATTTCGCAAATTGGCTACAAATGACTTCAAATTGCTTTAAACTACAAAATATTTTCGCATTCGCCGCCACCCGAAAACTTTTTAATTCATATGCAGTGATTATCGCCGCACCACTCTGTGGCACATTTTCCGGCTTTAGCTGAATATGCTTCATTAGAGGCGAAGGCCTAAAGTTCAAATATTTACATGTGATTGCCTGATTAAATTTACTCAACTTTTTGTACGGCGAAGTTGTAGCTCCTAATGAGGCCAAATGCTCTGTATCACACTTCAAACGAAATCTCCGGGAAATCTGAATTTTTTTTCGCAAATTGAATTGAGAGGGTTTTCCAGTGGCAAAAATGCTGCTCAATTTAGCGAGTGAGAAATTTTTCCAAGTGGCAAGGCAAGGCAGCAGCAAGACAGCAGCGAGATGGCCAAGTGGAGGTGGTCGAAGGTGGGCGGCGAATGGAGGAAGTGTGGGACGAAGGATGTGCCAACTCAAGTGCATAAAAGCACATAAAAATTGCAACAAAATGGCCAAGGACATGGGGAGCCAGGGACCGTTGACTCGCAACAGACGTTGACGCTGTCGGCCAAAGATAAACTCGCACTGGCAGCCATAAAACGTGACATGGGGGTGCCATTGCCATTGCCATTGCCCTTACTGGCCACATCCACATGCCAGTGACAGGCATTCCATTCCCCGGGTGAAAGTATTTGCCTCGATGGCAACGACTAATCGATCAGCTGATGGAATTCCTAGGCAGCCCGTTCCCAGGGATTTCGCCATGAAGGTGAGCAGTGAGCAGTGAGCAGCGAACAGTTGGCAAAACTATTTGCCAAAATGCTCGTCACACGCCTGGGCTTGGGGATTTTCCCGCTCCAGCTTCAGCTTCAGCTCTCGGGTCCTGGACAAATGATCAGCATGTACTCCATCCGAAATTGCTGCACATGCATCAAGTCCCAACTCGACTTGCACTCTGCCACTCTGGCAGTGTGGCAGCCTGAGGTTGATAGTTGACTCTTCATTTCGCGCCGTGATTTGTGCAGCCACTTGAACTCTGCACCCGGACGTAATTGCCATTGACAGGCGGAAGCTAAGCAGCTTTTCTTCCCAAGGACATTTTAGTGGGAGGAGTGCTGCTGGCAAGGAAATGTAGTCTTGAAGGATTGTTTACAGAATTCACTTTGGTTAAAGTGAAACTTGTTCTAGGAACTATTATTTTGTGAAACTTTGATTTTATTTAGTTAATAATAAAGTTCGATTGCAAATATTTTAATGCCAGTTTTTATAAAACTTAAAGTTCAATATTCGTTTATATATATGGATTTTTTTTTAAATATTTTGGACATTTTCTTTTTTGACCTGTTAAACGTATGTTAATATTTTTTCTGTTAATATAGAGAACATTCTTAGTTCATATACAAAGTTTCAATAATCATTTTCATTTAGCATTAGAGGTATAATTCTTTTGAATATTAAGTCAAAAACGTTCTTAAATAAAATTTGTGTTGGTGTGCAGAAGACTTGTTAAATCTTCTTAGGATTTTCAGGATGTCAATCCACAGTTCTTGGAAACATATTTTAAATAAAATTTGAATGGTATTTAAATTCGGTAGCTAGATCCAGTTGGTCACTAAATAAAATACAATATATATTTAAAACATTTAGAAATTAAAGTCACCTTCCTGTGCTGTATTTTTGAAGTTACAAGTGATGTAAAGTTCCTAAAAATTCGAGAGTTAGGGCCACTTTTTTTTTGAGTGCCCGTTTGAGGAGTGACATCAACCGCCGGCCGAGCCTGCTTTGCATTCAAATGTTGTCCGTGTGCGGGCAGTTGAGCACCGGCACTAAACAATGCCCCAGTTGGCCATTTCACGGACCTTTTAAGCCCCGGACCACACCCACCACCACCGACATGGTCACCCGCTACACACCCACCCAGTGCACCACCCACTCAGTGCACCACCCAAACATTGCTGTTGCAGTTGCAGTTGCACCTTTGGCCAATGTATTTGGTGAAAAATTTATAGGCACGCCCTGCGCTCTGGCATTTGTTTCAATTCCGTGGCCCCAAGGGGTCATATGTGATTGTGTGCTTGTGTACTTGTGTGCCTGTGTGGGTGGCTGAAAATATCCTCCATATCCTTGTTTATTTGTATGCGAATCACGTTTTGTTTGTGTCGTCGCGCCTGTGGCGTCCTGTTGGTCATCTACCGCCCATATCCTGGCTGCCCATTGCCATTGCGAATTCCTCGGCTTTAAAGGCAGGGCGAATTTTTCACAGAAGGCCAGTGCCATACCAATTGCTAATAAATGCCACACCCACCCTCGCAGTAGCGCCCCTCATCCGAGGCCAGCTCAATTGGTTCGTTACGCTTGCCGGTGGCCAGCGCCCCAGTCGTTAGATGGAATTGAATGGTTATTGTTTCGAAATATAAATAGGATTTCTAACAGATTTTTTTCAAGCTCTGTCTCTCGGTTTTTTGCCGATCTGCCTCTGCCCTACCAAAATACCCAAAAACATGAAAGTAAAAACGTGGGGGGACGAATCAGTGAGTATATGACAGCTGGAAACTGCAATTTGATTATTTGGTCCACCCTTTTCGGCTTTCTGTTTCTGTTGGCTTGGCAGCACTTAATCGAGTATTGTAAAATGCCACAGTTCATAAATTTTCATGAGGCCAAAAGCGAAAGAGAGTCTGGAAAATGTTTGCTTTCTGAAGGTTAAAATACTTCCAGTTACTTATTGATTTTTGTATATTGAAAGACATTATAAATATAGAAATGAAGTGTCAGGCTTGAATTAATAATTAAATTAAATATTAAGGCAAAGTAATTGTTGAGAAGGCTTTAGGTATTCAGTTTTCTCATTATTAAAATGTCTTAGCTCCTTGGGGCGTGTTTAAAATATTTACCTTCGCATTAATTTCAATAATTAGTCACCTGATTAATTTGCAAGTACGTCTTTAAAGTACTTAATAATGGAAAATTCCCAGGACATGTGAACTTAAGCCGGCCATGCAACACTGACCCCCTTGGCAGTTAAATTGCCCAGCTAGGCAGCAAATTAAACTTTCAACTTTGAAATGACCGAAGCTCATTTGTAATGCAGCATCAGCATCCTTGTAAACACAGTGCTCACGAAACTGCAACAATAAACAGGTATTAGGGATGTGGATGTGGATGTGGATGTGTGTGCCGGAAGCGAGAATTTATGGGAACGCATAAAAGGCGTTTGCGCCTCATTGGCAAAAATGCCAAAACAAATGATGTTGGCCATA